ACAAGGCCGTGGTTTGGCTAGTCCACATACTCAGGAACCCTTAAACAGTAAAACGCAAAGGCGTCCGCGCAGTGGCTGTAGCTGGTTTTAGGAGCCAGCTTGTCCGAAACTGTTTGCACCTAATTTTACATCTGTATCTGGTTTGAGGATCCGACCTGATTGAAATTGCATGTACCTGATTTGAGGAACGGATCTGTCAGAAACTGAGTACCTGATTTGAGAAACCCATTGGTCAAACCATTTTGTAGTATTGTATAGACCGTTGCAAAAGGCAGTCTGTCGGAGTGTGGCTCTTTGTAAGAGCCCTGAGTTGTACCTTTAAACCATTATCTTGATCTTGAAGCCATTATCCGAAGTAGTGAACCCTTTATCTTAAACCCTAAGCCCCCATCCTAAAGCCTAAACCCTAAACCCTATTCTAAACCGTATTTAAGCCCCAAACACTATCCCTAAACCCTAAACCCTCAAATTTAAACAATGTCAGTGCAAGTAACGTTGAGAACTACACGAGAATGCTTTACGGTTTGAAAAAAGAAGAAAAACAAAGAAAATGAAAACAAAATCCATCTCAAGAAACAATTTTTTGTAGCCGTTCCAAGACCTGGTGCCGCACATGCACCTCTTTCAGAATTCGAACTTGTGGATGGTCAATATCGCCATGTCACCCTTGTAGCTTTCTCTAGAAAGGTGTTCCAGATCGTCACTTGTGTTGACAAGCCTGGTTTCAAGACAAAGGTCGGAATTCGAGCTGTTGGAAAGCACGCACGCTGTCACACTCGAAGGTGTGGCAGCAAATCGTCACGTTTGGAAGCAGGCACCAAGCCGTCGCGCTTTGGAGCTGTTAGACAGAGGGTTTGCATGTTCCTTTCAGGCCGGCCGAACGCTTACCTGCGCAGATAAGCGTTTCGTTGGGTCTGTGCTGATTTCCGCTTCCGGTTTAGGGTTTAGAGATTAGGATTTAGGGATTTAGGGTTTAGGTTTAGGGTTTCGAGTTTCGAGTTTAAGGTTCAGGGTTTAGGATTTTAGGGTTTGGGGTTTAGGGTTTAAGGTTTAGGGTTTAGGGTTTAGGGTTTATGGTCTAGGTTTCGGGTTTAGGGTTCAGAGTTTAGGGTTGAAGGTTAAGGGTTTAGGGTTTGGGCTTTCGGGTTAGAGGTTTAGGGTTTGGAGTTCAGGGTTTAGGGTTCAGGGTTTAGGGTTTGGGCTTTCGGGTCTGGGGTTTAGGGTTCTTGCGCTTTTGTCACCAGCAGAGCCTTAATAGCTTGAATCATTTTCTTCAGGTTTAAACGCAAAGCAATGCACATCTAATACTAGAACTTCCATTCCACTGCAGGGTCTATTCCAGGTCCGCACCTTCTTTGCCAAGTTTCTTCAGTCTCTTCTGCAACTCTACGAGCATTGCTTCAGCTTCAAGAGTTGCTGTCTTGGAGTCCATGTGGATTGCCCACTGTTCTGTTTCTACTTGAAATGTTTGTGTAGAGGTGAGACAATATTTGATTTCCTTCCAATCAAAGACGGAGAAGGTCTTGTTGCTGGCTCTCCCTTTTCTCCGTCTGTTCCAGCTGCACTTCCATGAAGAACTGTGCCAGCTCGTTTTATGGCAAAAAACAAAGCATTGCCAAATGACAGCACATTTCATAACGTGTTCTGCCAGCTGAACATGGCAAAAATGACAGGACAAGCTGTGGCTGCACGTTTGATCAAAACCTGGAATACGGTGTTTTCTTTTCGTTCTGGACTTCAGATTTCTTCCAAAATTGGAGACTGTTTGCGACCTGTAAACGTCATTCGGTCATTCAGTCTTTCCGAGACCTCTCTCGCTTCGAGCTTGTGGGTTTTGGCTTGGACTTGGCGCGTTTGTTGCAACATGCAAGTGATTGTGTCACTCGAACTGGTTAATTTCTCTTCGAAATGGCAGCTGTGGGCCGTGGATCTTGGTTTGCACGAGAAAGTTGCATGTTTGGGCACGCCGATTCTTATACCATCAATGTGGTCTGAAATGAAGGATTGTTGTAACCTCGACGGTTCAGACGTAAGGCTGCAATTGACCAGTGTTCAAGATGCAGGGCACGACTCTGACGTTGTGGGCCGTGGGGACAACGTTCCGCATAACGTATTTTGCAGTTGTGTGATCGAGATGCAAACATCAAAGCAGTCCATGTCGAGGCAACGTTTCACCCGTGAGTTTTCGCTATGAGCCGTTTGCATGATACAACACTGTTTCAACGTGTATAATATAGGAAAACTACCGTACATGTTAGGAAAAAATCACTAGACAGTTTCGCGTAATGATGCGCCACACATGCTTTGTGCTACTATGTTGTGTTCTTGAACTTGACAGCGGGTTTTTAGTCGACACGTCCGTTTGCCATGCACTTCGCTGTATGCCGGCCGGCCTGGAACACAGAACATATCGGTCAGGGATTCGGGCCATCTCAGCCAACATTCGGCTCAAATGCACGACACGTCAAATCTTCTTCCATGCTGGGTGAAGGATCATACAAGTTTCATGTCAATTGTGTATGTACGAGTTTTGTGCGCGAGTTCGAAGTTTGTCGTATTGTCGTGAACACTCTTAACAAGATGATCTGTTTCTGGCAAGATTCGACAGAGGCGCCCAGTTAGTCAGCACGATGAGGCCTACACCATTTGAGTGTATTCTCGCACGCACATGCCACATGCAAGAATGGCCGCAAACATGGCGAGAAGCAAACATGTGCTGGCAGTTGCCCTTGGAACCGGAAATTCCTTTTTTTCGGAGTGCATGTTACAACACCGTTGTCTTGCTCTCAGGTTGGTTTGCTGTGTCTACAAGCTCTAATTCCACTAGAAGGCAGCCCAGCGCATGGACATTCGGCATACAAGGCCGGTAAACTATATATGACAGAAGTGACCTGCAACTGGGCTGCGTCTGCCAGGCTTCTTTGCAGCACCATTCTTTCGCCGTGCCGTCGCAAACCTGGCCTTGAATATTATTGGTCATGTGTGCACCCGCGTTGCGCAACAAATTGGGACGGGCAAGTGATCAGGCTGGAGTATTCAATGCTGCTTGGTGACTGGTTGCTAAGCGGCGCCAGCATCTTCGAAAGGCCAGCAGACTTGTCTGCGGATTTCCGCAATCTGAATCTCGACGTCAGGGAACGCTTGTTGCTGCACCCTGCAGTACCTGAGCGCTGTGGGCCAAGACTTACGGAAGACGATACTTGCTGCTTGCCCAACATTCAGAGAATCTGCCAGGCCAAGGTTTTGCTTGGAACAAGCAGCCGCTTCAGACCAACAATTTCGAGGTTCCCCGCAGTACCATGTTTGGACACATCGGTCTTTTCAATGCCCTTCGTTCGTGTAGGCCAGCTTTTCATTTCGTGCTTCTGGAGCTGGAGATCCTTCGAAGGCTTCGTCATTCCATAGATTCATAGACTGCTGAAGCAGGAAATAGCCTCACTTGAAACACTCTTGCAGGTTGTGGATGACCAAAGCTTTGCTTTCTGGTTTGTCCGGCAGAACATATCTGGTGATTTCAACGAATCTGCTGCCATCCGTGCGCGGAGCCTCAGAACCTGTTCAGGCGAACGGTCACCGTTGTGGACTGACAGAAACTTCCTGCAACGCATGTGCTATCAGTCTGTCATGTGCCTCAGGCCCCTTCTTGGTCGGAGGGTCTGAAGGAGCAGGGTTACACTTTGACAGGCTCCAAGGCAACACGGTTTGCAGTGCCTTCTGCACTTTCAACATCAGTGTTGATCCGGCCCGATTGACGACTGCGAAGGCGCTTTTTGAAGGCATCGGAGCTGCCGGGCCCCCAATAAGTTTTCTCATGCCGTGCAAGAGGAGTCTTGTTGACCAGGTGTTTTCGACTGCAAACCTCGCAAAGAAGCCAGGGTCTGTTGTGTCGTTCATCAGCTGCTGTCTCAGACAACTGTGGACACTGTTTGCCTTTCGTGCCCCTGGACCTGTCTTGCATAGGCAACGACAATCATCAAAGCCTGGGGTACGGCATCGACGTGCCCACAAGCAATGCCAAGGACCGTTGGTCACGGCTAGAACGTCCATCGTAAGCACTGTCACTGTCAAGTGTCCCGAGACCAGTGCTTGCACTTATGCTCAGGCAATCGATTTCAGGAACAAGGATGTCGAGTTCAAGATTCGGGTGAAGCCCGTCTCAGTGCAGGCACGATTCCTCAAGTTTTTGGATGTCCCTGAGCATGTCAGCCCCGTTCGCCTCGGAACTGAACGAGCATGGGCCAGGGCCAGATCACTGTTGATGGCAAAACCGAAGAATGCTTCAACGTAGATCGAAAGAACTTTCCTGTGAAGGTCGCCTCCTTAAAGATCTGTGGTCCATATGTTTTCCCTCTGGGCATGATGCTGTGTGGCTGTTAAGATTTCGGTCTTCCAGACATATGCATGTTGCTATCGAAGCTACTGCTAAGGCAGGCGGCTACATCGGCTTTACTGCTTGGAGCGGTTGCTTGACTGCGTCTACCGTCGTTTTGGACTGTCTGCTGGGTTTCTGTTGCAGTTCCCGGCTGAGCTTGACTTGCTGCGATCTTCTGTTGCCGAAATCTTGTAGACACTTGGCATCAAGCTTGATAGGACACCTGCAGCAGAAGTCTAGCTAAGCCTGCTTAAGCATGGAGGAGTGATTACGGCCATCGCCTTTCGTGCAGGTGCTAGGTGCAAACACGCAGCAAAACAAAGGAGGACGGTCCAAGCTCTCGGAGTGCAAGTCCCACAAGGTGAACTGCCTGAGTCACTTCACATCAAGCTTGATAGGTTATTTGCAGAACGCGCTGCAGCGAGCTGGCGTAGCATCCCTAGAGGCAAAACCCCAAACAGGCTTTTTGTTTCCTGCAGGTGTCCCATCAAGCTGGATGTCAAGTGTCCACGAGATTTTGACGACCCCGGCTGGTTCCGTGCCGGCCGAGGGCAGTGCTTCAAACCGTCCTGCACCAATGAAGGCCCCAACAGCAGCTTCGTTATGCACTCCGTTAGACACGACGCCCCACAAGCAGCGACGCCCCACAAGCAGCCTTGCTTGCTGAAGTGATCACCAACACCTGTTCGGCTTCCATCTTCGGCTTTGCTTTCTGCCCGCTTGCTCTTCACTCCCCGCGCCACTCCATACTCGTTCGAGGCATCTTCTTCGGCACGTCCTATTGCCCAGTTGCAGATTCTGGGGATTTTCATGGCATGCCATCAATGAACTGCAAACTTGTACAGCGAGACGTGCCATGAACTTGTTATTGTTGCCGTGCTGCTCGCAACGATGTCGTGTGGCATTTTCAGGAAAAGTAGTGAGTTGGCAACACGAATCCAGCTCGTCAAAGGTTCAACAGAAGTCACCAAATCTCCAGATGGCGTGTCACTGACAAAGGCCCGTCCGTGCCTGTGATCAGTGAGATACTTTGTAAAATCATGAGATTATTTGGGCCTTCGCAGGTGCAGGTGGTGAACTTCGATGACCAGGTCTCCTTTATGCATGGTTTGTTCCCCTTGCAGTTTGTGCACATGGCAGCAAGCGTTGTCTTGGTTTGAGTTGGGTTCGACACGACCTAGGGCTGCTGCCAAGTGGAACTCTCGACCTCTCGGTTGCTGTCCAGGCAGTCGGTGAAGATATCATGGGGACCAGTGCCAAGGATAAGATTGCGTGCTCCAGAGCGACATCCAGAGAAACAGGATTCAGAAACTGGCAGTTGCATAGCAAACATTCCCGCTTGATGGTGTGAGGTACGAAGCGTTGATGTCAGAGGATTCGAGATACTTCCAGGACCAGCAGGCACAGACTGAGCACATCGGAAGAATAACATCAATGCCTGAATCCCGGTCGAATCTTGCAATCGTCTTGTTCTCATGAAGACAGTCCGTCGCACCAAGGTTGTCTGCACATCTCAATGAGACGAAGCCGCATCCCCAGGGACGAGTGCACTTCTGCCCACACTCTATTGAGACATGTCTGCTGCCAGGCCGACATACGATGTAATGGCCTTCCAGGTCTCAAGCCTTATGGAGTCCCTCAACAAGCGGCGGTCTTACCAACTTGTCATTCGCAAGAGGAATAGGGTCAGTGTCTGCTGTCCTTCAGGTTGGACCGTGACTGCCGTCTCCTCACGAAAGAGATGCAGGTCCTGGCTGCAGATCCGAAGAGCGCGAAGCACCGAGCCCAGTTAAGTGTTGCCGAATCAGTCAAAGTCTTCGCGACGTGAGTCTGTTGCACACGGCTTCAATCCTCGACCTCCTCGGCCTCGGCATGTACGGTGCTAGGCTTGCGCATAAATCAGCCCTGAGATGTCGCCAATCACGGATGGATAATGGCTACACTCACAACGGCTGAGGAATAGAGGTTTCTCATCAGGACGCGCTTCATGAATAATGCTGGGCAGGTAGAAAGTCAAGGTCGATTTCAACCTCCATGTTTCCGAGTCCCAGGGAAGGTAACAAGGGTATGCAACGAGTTTAGTTGTGACACTTACATGTTCACCGAGCGTTCGTGAGAAACACGCAAGACAGTGTTGGCTTTGCAAAAACGCCTGTTGGCGGTTAGGTCGCCCAGTTCTGGGCGAGGCCGCCCCCCTCCCCCGCTCCCCCCTCTGCAAAACATAAGCCGCCCCCCCTCCATCCCCCCCGGTTTAGGGTTTAGGGTTTAGAGTTTGGGGTTTACGGGGGGAGGACCAGTAACAGGTGCTCGCTGAGTCGCTGCCATGCGTTTAGTGCTTGCACATGAGCAGTCAATGTCTTCGGTGAGTGGGCCAGCACCACCGAGCTCTGACTGGAGGGGGCTTTCCTGTTCTGACGGGGCGGCTCTCTGTTGATGAGATGAGACCAGGCAAATCCAGGCAAGCAAGCTCGCTGCACTCAGAATAACAGCTATCAGAAAGCGTTGGACCACGGTTTTCGGGGCCTCTTGCTTGACTTCCACGGGGGGGTGGTGCGGGAAAGGGTGTTGCACTCCAAAGGTGTAGCCCTATTTCCGAAAAATGTCCCAGAGCTCACTGAATCACAGCTACACAAGAGTGCCTTGCCTGGAGTCATACGAGTCCATCCACTTGTTGCAGATATTTGCAGATGTCTCTCTTTGGCAAGGTTCAAAGGCCGCGTGCTCTTGCTAAGTGCAACAGTTGTGACCCTGCCCTT